GGCGGCTGACGCACTTTCTCCCACTGCCGCCGAGATTTCGCTGACTCCGGAGCCTCCCCTTCCTTGACTTTATGCGTCGCGGATCTTGAAAGGGTTTATAAACAGGGACGAGACATGTTGAGAAATGCCGTTTATTAGATAACGCGGGTGAGGGAAGAGGGGGCACAACTATCGGGCAAACAGCTTCAGAAAGTATTCCTCTAAAAATAAACTAGTCAAAAATTATACAAAACTTTTTTTCGCTAACCGCACAGTAACAGCAATATAAAACATGTAACCACTCAGAGGTTGTGTAATGAAGGAGTACATGCTTCCTCCTAAGAAAACCGTGCGACTTCTACTTGAATTCATGCAGAAAGAGCAACACCTCTATTATAAAATTTGGGAACAACCAGGTTAATAAACTAGGTTCCAAAGAAGCTTCCACCAAAACAATGATACAACGTATGGACGTGTCGTTTGAAAGGGTCCACAATCAAATAGGCAAATGTCTGTTCATGGCTTTTGTTTGAAGGATAACATAGGCCATTCTCATCCTGAGAGGAAGAGGAAAAAGAAACTGTTAATGACAACATGGATACCAATGAGCATATTCATACAATTTGAATAAAATGTATCATTCTGTTTCAGTTGTAACAATTTATTTGATGGCATAACACAACAAACACACCGGAGTTTATTTAAGTAGTTTTATCACATCTCCCCTGAAGGTCCTGACATTACAACACGGACGTAAGTAGCTCTAGCCGTCTGAATAGTGCCAATACCCTGAATGGAAATGTAAAATCCATTGCAAATGTAAAATTAAGCATGTAAGCACATGAATATATAATTAGAGCCTAAAATATAGACGATTAAATATACATAGACCCAATCATGTGTCCTTTGAAATAGAAAAATATTTAGGAACTATATATTAATAACAAAAGTTGTTCTATCAATAATTCTTTTTCACTTAACATTTGTTAATGCATCTGTTCAGTCTCCAATATTTGTGTCTAAGAAAAACTCTCTTTCTAGCTCTTATTAACATCTTCAAAATGTTATTTAAAAGTCTGCTAATTCTCACAAAGTGCTTTAACAGAATTTAGATGCTGAACTCCAAATTTCTCATTCCAAAAACTACACTCAGCTGACAACCAACACTATCAAAACTAGGTTCTTCAAATTAACATCCTACTTCTGCACATATCAATAAAAGCTTTAGTCTTGACAGAGCAGTAAAGCTGGTCACCCGCCTCAAATCCTACTTGGATTCAGAAATTAGATGTCTTCTTTTTTGATGCATTCAGTCTTGTAATTGAACATCTAACAGATGAACAAGCATGTAGCAGACACCTCCTTTCTTTTAAAACAGGTAACTGCTTCCTTCTGCTCCCTACAACTTTACACAGTATTAGAAGATATGTAAATTCTGTTCCCTTTTTTACTAGAGTAAATTCCCATATTGCATATAGTGTCCTTTTTTCCTCTAGGAAAACTTTAAATTCCCAGACTACACAGTATTCCAGCTTAGAAGCACATCTCTCTCATTCTTCTGTTGAAGCTCTTCTACTCTGCAGAATCCGTCTTTCTCTGGACCAAGGAATCATGAAAACTCTTAACACCCTATCTTAGTGGCTAAGGCAGTCAACTTGGAGGGAAAAGACCTCGTTTCCATTTTCTGGTCCAGGGACAATTTGTGAATTTTATCCAGTGGCTGTTATCAGCACCCAAATTTCTCTCCTGTTATTTAGAAGATAATGAATTCCATACTACATGTTCTTCCTTTGAGGAATTATTCAAGACCATAAATCTTAAATTAAGATAAGCAACTCCCTAAAAGCATTGTTTAAGAGAGGCAGAGATTTGATACATTTATTCTCATTATTTTCTGATAACAGTGAAATAGAGAAAGTTAAAAATAGTATTCTGTTTTAAGCAACACAGCATACAAGCTTTGTGGCTCCATTTTTAAGACATCTAGCTACATTCAGGCATTGTATAGGGATTCAGGTGCATGAAACACTGGATTCTCAGTTTCACTAAAGAGAGCAAGCTTTAAGTTGCGTTTTACAATACTCAGCATCACAATGTCTTTGGAGTTTCATACAAAAATAACCTAAGCCCACCAAAAAGGAAGAGAAGACCAACATCAAAATGTGAGTGTTAATTAAACTGATTTCCCATTGCTATTAGAAATCCCATGTCTGCAGTCCTTACTGAATCAACCAACGTAAGTTGAGTTTTTGACCGTTTAAAAGCAGTGACAGCACACCGAAAGTTTGCCGAACAAAACACGAAAAAAAGCAAGCTAAGTTGTGGTGGCATGGCATTTCAAAAAACTCAACAATATACCAAGCTTGACAGCAGGAAAATAAATATTATATCATTTAAGGTAAGGGGGAAGGTTCTTTAATTTTAGTCAGTAAAAAGGTCGTTTAAAAAGAAAAACTAAAACACTTCAGCATAAAACCATCGGAACTTACATAGGGTTACTCTTGTCTTTAGAGTAATAGGTAATAGAGTAATAAAACATGAATCTAACCAGCTTGAACTTTGGTTCAAACATGTGGAGTTGGTGTAACACTTCCTTGATTTACTGATGCCAGAGTGGGATCAATTTAATTTGTTTCTACAAGAACATAGATATTCAGCCGAAGATTTCAAGAGTACAAATGCATAGCGTAATGAAGAAAGATACATTGAACATCTTTAAAAACGCATTATTTTATCAATAAGTTTTTAAAAAGACTTTGTGCATAAACTATTTATTACAGAGATTTCTAACACTGTTACAGTTAAGGTTCAGGTAAAGAAAGTTCTAAAATACCAATTAATATCCAAATACCTCAGATTTAATGAAGATTCATTATATGTAAGCTATGAAGCTTGGAGTTCAACAGTTTGTGGTCACATAACTTAAAATTTCTCTTGAGATGCCCTGGTCTACAGAGTTTTGATACTAACAGATCTGCAGAAACAGATAAATGAACCCTTATACCTTGAAATATTTAGATTAAGAGATCTTACTACTGAAACAATAAAACTGCCCTGAAGCTGTTTTTTAAACATACAATAGCACTTTCAAAGATGAGATCAGTTTCCACCACTGATTTTGACACGCCCACACTATTGAGATAGGTATCTGTGGAAACAGATTTGTTAGAAAAGAGGCATGAGACACAATTTTCGGTATACTGATGATGACAGCCAGCTTCATCTTTCTATATTATCTGATTTTAATAGGCTTTTTTTTTTTTTAATATTGTTTCCTAAACAAGGTCTTCTTAGCCACAGCCTAAACCAAATAAAAAGGGAGTGGTGGTGTCAAGAAGAAGTTACATAAAATTCTTAATTCCTGATATCATTCCTACTTTTACAGGTATCCAAATACATTTATTTGTCCATTTATTTTGTCCATTACATAGTTTGCAAAAATGTGGATTCCTCTTATTTCTCTGCTGATTCTCAAGCAACTTTTACCAGCTTGTTCTTTTCTATGTCAGGCCAAAAGGTTATGTCCATTTCTTTCAGATACAAACTAAGAAAATCTGGCTCATTCATTGTCACCTCCACATTAAGATTGCCTTAACACTCTACGGTTATTCAGCAAATTATCTTCGAAACTGTATCTACTGCAGAAATAGTTGTCTACTTTAGAGGAACTTTTCATCAAAAGCACAAGATATTTGTGTTCCAGTAAGTGCTATTCCTATCGTTTCCAAGCAAAGCTTAGGAGTTTTGATTCACAGAACCTCCAAACAGTCCAGAAATACCCACTGAAGCCTTTCATTTTGAAGTAACCTCATGTTTTAAGTCTGAGCATGTCTTTGGGATAAACTCTATTCTGAGAGAAGATTCTTCAGGATGTTCTTTAGTGGAAACCGGATTTTCAGAATTGTCCTTCACCTCACATAATTTCAGAATCTGAAGTAAAGCCTTATTTTTCCCTAAAGGCTATAGGGATTTTCCCCTAAAAGCTATAGAGATGGTATGCTCTGTATTTGCAGTGGATTTTCCTTTGCCCAGTCACTTCTTCGTTTTCAAAATGTTGCTAAAAGTTGTCTAGTTTTTGTTTGTTTTTTTTGTTTTTTAACTTATGATACTCAATATACGGCAAAGGCAGCTAGGGGAGCTCTTAAATACCGTGTCTGCCTAAACATAGAAATCCGCAAAGTTCATGTGAATCTACTGTTGATCCAGAAATGTGGGGAAAAACAGTAATAACAGAAAAATACCAAGTTATCAAGGTTTTTGTTATTGTTTTTCTTTTTTAATTCGAAGCCTGCCGCTTAGTAAACTGAGGTAAATTGTGATACATCCATAAAGTGCTCATTTTTAGAAAACATTTCAAGTCTTCCATGAATCACACACAGTAGTGACAAGACAATGACTCCCACATGAACGGGCTATTGGCAAGTTACAGGGAAGTTTGTGTAGTCTGAAATGACATCAGCTATTTCTTTTGGAAGTGGGTACATTATCTGATGTAATTATTATATACTCTGGTTACTCAAGAAGAATTAGGAGTAATTCAGCCTACTGTAACAATTAAATAGCAGATACACTGAATCCAGTAAACATGCAGCCCATTCTCAAACTCATCTTTATGGTAAATGTATGATTTTGCAAGAAAAACAAAAATAAATGAGACTTGAGAAAGGAGGGGAGAAGAGGGTAGTAGTCATCTCACTGCTCTAACTCTTGTGTACTGAACTGCCTTGCAGTCTTTACATAAGCAGATGCAACACAAACTATTCAGAAAGCTCTCTAAAAACATTTCTAAAATAGAATTACCAAGTCAAGAGTGAGTTCTTAATCCTTACTTCTCTTTCATGTATATATACAAGTAGAATTACTCAGACCTAAAGATACGGGTTTTTTCCCCATAAACTAGTTTCTGGATAACTGTCATGACTTCAAATATAATCCACCAAACCTATTTTTAGTGAGCTACAAAATAAAACTCTAAGTGCTGACTATTGCTGAAGAGTTACTAAAGAGTGCAAGCAGGATGAGATCGGGGAAAGGGTTCAAGAATAAAGAATGGCAACAGCTATGGAAAAATAACCCTTTTAAATTGAATATTAAGTTTTCTTTGTGTAAATGTCAATTCTTTATTTTCATGTTATGCATGTTACTTCCAGTAAAATCCTGTACCAAAAAATTGTTAGTACTTACATATGCAGACACTCTGAAGACAGTAGAAGTAATGCTTATTTCTTTTGTTCCTGGATTCTTTTGAACACTGAAATATAGGGAAATAATACAGGCTTAATACTTCCACCACAGATATTAGTCCTTCATTTAATAAATACATTTTGAACATACGCACCATATTCTTGCTCAGATTTTATCCAGTTAAAATTAATAGTTAGTATTCAACTTGTGCCACATGAACCATGAAAAGCTATATTAACAAACCTAGATAACATGGATATTGTAACATTTTACTGGAAACTATTAAATGAAAATATATCTAGTCATCTGAGTTGGGTTGGTTTCACTGTTTTCAACTACTATATCACACCAATATTACCCAGGCCTGGGTGACTCCAATATAAAGTTTGCATTTTGATATATAATGAAAGTAATTTAGCTAAATATTTTGTTAAAATATTTTTCTTAATTTTTACACACTCTTACAGGAAAAAAACTGCAACCGAATGGCATTTACCACAGATCATAAGAAGTAGCAGCAGTACTGGTAAAGAAATGCAGATGACAGTTCATTTTAAATTAATATATGATTATGTTTTAAGATCATTTTTTCCTCATTTGGAATGCTGTATGTAGAGAGAGCTATCTTAGAATAGTATTATGACTACTGAATCGTTCTATTGCTAGATTGTGATTGTTGCAAAAACTATGATTTCTTCCATCATAATTACTAGTAACGCTAAGATATTACTGCAGACTGACCAGACCTCTCAACACCTTCTCAACATATATTATATTTAAATATATATTGTCTCATTTTTCCTCAGGTCTGCTTTTGAGTGATGCTTACATTTCTTCATAAATTAGAACATGTAACTTCTACCAATTCATTTAATTTCACAGATTCTTATTTTCATTAACTCACTGTGGAATTGCTGAGCCTTACAAATTTCATACTCCATATAGCTGTAAGAAACGCATAGCTCAAATTCTACCTTACTATAAACAGGTTCAGTTCCTAGGAAAGGTCTCAATATAGCCTCATTGCTAGAGGATGTAGACCACAAGAGCTCCAGGCTATCTACCTATGACAGCAGGCCCCCGTTACCACTGCTTTTGCAAAGATTCTTTTTGTAAGAAGAACAAACAGAACCCACATCAACCATTATTTTTGTTGATTTGGTCTCTTTAGCCAATCAAAAATTTGACTTTTTTTACTGATTTCACCGGTAATGACAGTCATGTATGAATTGTCATTAAGTCTGTACTGTGAAGCGAATCTTTCATGTAGTGAGTCAGTAATGAGGCTTCTTCAACATTTTTTCTTGTAACTCACATGTTGATATACTCAACAGTGGATTAAGACAGCATTGCTGAACCTGGTACTGGCCCCAGTTGTCTGCCTTACCACCCCTCTGGAGATTATTGCCTTCCCAGAAGGGACAGCTCAACTGGTTCATGACTCAGCTTCTGAACCACTGCAGTTTACAGCCCAGCATATTAAGATAAACTAAAATGGATGTCAGTTTATGCTAACGTAGTGGGCTGTAAACCACAGCAGTTCAGAAACTGTTTAACCATCTCTGCTGAAAGACTGACAACTTTCGGAGCAAGTTAGAGGCGGGTAGTGGGGTGAGTACTTTCTACCATACATGTATTACCACCCTCAAAAGCTACAGTTATATTCAATTTATTCTGGGATCACATTCTTTTGTCTGAAAAATACAACTTTCAGTTTCTGAAAGTTTATCTGAAAGTATCTGAAAACTTTAATTTTTCTATTATATATAAGATACACCTAGGATACCAAGGAAATCAGTGGCAGAGAACAAGTCTTTGTATATATTCCATTGCCTATAAATTGAGAAAATTTCCCCTTGTGGTTAGCTTTCTCTAAGTCAGTTTGCTAATTGAATGTTTATTTATCAAACTTTAATTTTTAGGGCAAAATAATATATCTGCCAAAATCAGACGAGTCTTTTCTTGTTAACTTGAAAGAAGGTAGGATTATGCCTTCATATTTGACATATTTATTTGGTATTTTTCCATAAAAGTTTAGAAAAAAACTAACCTGTCTTCTTGATAGGATAATAATCCCATAAAAATATTGCCTTAATATCCCACTTTGTTCTTCCAAATTGTTATTTTCTAAACTATTAACTGAATATAGAAGTTCCTTAATCATTGTAATGTGCATCTCTTCTCTTTTTCAAGGAGAATAAATTTCCTCACCATTTCTCAATTCACTTTAAGTTCTACTTACATCCTAACCTTACTGGCAATATTTCATTAGGCTTTCCAAACATAAAAAGAGCAAATCAATGTCTTCAGGTAAATTGATTTATTACATGGGAAAGGGTGTGTAGAAAACACAGAAGGAGGGAGAAGTGAACAGCGAGTACAAGATACTATAGCAGCTGTCATCTTGAAAACACCATCACAAAAATCAGGCGTTAAGTATAGAAGACAAGATTTATCAGCTGGAGGAGATCACAAAGATTCATACAGCCCATTTTAACTAACATGTTTTGTCACGTAAATTTGTTTTTTAGTTTTAACTAAACTAAAAATATTACACAAAGTATTTTAAAAATTATTTAGGTAACATAGGACGTGACACATGCTCAAATTCTGGATGGATTCTACTGGTCACAGACTAATTACTGCTGCATTAGTAACAGACCACAAGTTGTGTATAAATTCATTCACAAAGTAATTATTAGTCTTTTTACAAAGTAAAAGCCTCTGCCATTTAATAGTTTTATCTGGAATTCTCTAGGTGTGTTTATAAAATACCTAGAAGGGTTAATTTCAAACGATTATTGCATTCTCTCATAATAAAGCTATATACATGGAAATGCTTTAATTAAATGAAATGTCAAACTTTTTGATATTATTTTTAAGCTAACTGCCCTGGAGTTAGAACTCAGCAATTACTGGCAGGAAATCGTAAGAAAGGAAGTGGGAAAAAGCTCATAAAAGACTGCCGCTCTGCGCATTAGAGAGACTTTCGTGGAACTCTTTATGCTTGAGCCTTCTGTAAAAAGCACTGTTACAGGACCAAATATTGGTGTTTTATAACATATATAAGCATTTATAAACATATCATAATTAGACCAAGTTCATCTGTGGGGATCCTAGTTTTTTAGTCCACATCAGCCAGCAGGCAATAATTTTTATACTGTCCACTTATTTTCACCAAGTGTTTTGAACTCACATAACTTCAAAATTAAAACTTTAGAAGAGTACAGCTTACAGCTTTTTTTTTTTTTTAAAAATACCACAATAAGTTTTCAATGTTACTTTGCAAATAGTAGGATGTATCTGACAAGCTTGAAATTCAGGATGAAAAGAAACCAGAAACATAGGATAACTGGCTGGAACAGAAGAATTTGAGGAAAAGTTGGTTTCCAACAACAATTTGAAGGTGGAGTGTTTGGTAGACAGAATTTACAAAACTATAACTGTTATGTGCAATAGTTTACAGAAAATAAGAGGCCATGAATAAGTAATTCTCCTTGCTTTATTTTCCAGTGTAATATCTGCAGAAATATCTGCGACACAGTGCACAGCTGGACTAGAAATTAGAAACAAAGTAAGTCAAGACTGTGGCATGAGAGTTCCTCATCAGTGCCACATTGCTTATCCATTCACTGGCTTTCTCTGTCTTAGGAAGGTGGTAACAGAACAGCAAAACTTTGGATAAACTGAGGGCTGAGGGAAAAAGAGAAAGCAGCAGAAAAACGTGATGCTGAAGGGGAAGAGAAAGCAGAGCCGGAAACGTCAAGATTGAGAGCTTTTCTGATGGGATTGTCAAAGAACTAAATATCAAGGGTGCAAGATAAAAGATTTAGTTAAATCATGGTGGGCTTTTTCAATTGCTAGTCAGTGTTAATGTTATCTCCATTGGACAGTGAGAAAACAACAGACATTATAGGCAAGGAAATAGAGAGGTACAGAGGTACATGGCAGATGAATAGTTGTATCAGGTGAAGTGAGTAGATCTATTTTAAAACTTTGGAGAATAGGAAAAAAGATGACAAGTGGGGAAAAAAAAACCCCACAATCTAATAGACCTTGAAAGGTTTTCTTCTGATACCATATAAAGGAAAGAAGAAGCAGGCATGAGAGAAAATACAGAAACATGCAAGGGGTCAATAAAGAAAAAGTTGAGGGGATAGAAAATGCCAATCATGAAAGTAAGATGAAAATGCAGGCAAGATTGTGGCAGAGGCAAATTTCTTTTTATAACAAGAACTACTTAATATCCTGATCAGGTTTTATTGTAGGAAAAGGAAATATGAAGGCAAAGAAAAGGAGTGATTCAGAACAAAGCTTTAACCTGTTTAGGAAGAAAACAACCAAATGGCAAAAGGAAGGAAGAAAGTGAAGGCACTGATTAGATTTGGCACTTTGTCATAGGTCATTGACTACAGCTGTTTCTGCTCTTGTGTTGTTAATGTAGAGTGAACTAAGGCCAAGGATTAGAGTAGAAAACGCCTTGTTTCAAGTGCAGAGTGAACTATTTAAAAGAAAAGGGAGGGTAAGACTGATGAATTGATAGATCCTTTTTTGTCATATTATGAATTACACTTGATTTCTCTCTATGTACGATATTATGATAATGCCAAAAATGAAGTTCACACAAATAAGAAATCTTTGGTAACAAATCACAATATCCAAACTAATAAATGAAGCAATACAAGTTAACTATTTCTAAAATTTCCTTTGAGTGCTTTTATCAGTCAATTTCTCATTTAATTTTTTTTTTCCAAAAGTATAAACTGTTCTACTGCTACGTTAATCGTTGATTTTAGATGATCCTGGGAAACAGCATAGCACTGAATCAACTTGCACCCTGAAAAGTATGGACAATCAGAAAATCTGAAAGCTGCTTAGAAGTAATTAAAGTTTGGTAAGCTTCTTTGGTTAAGTATTACAAAAAATTCCAAAAGAAAGACAAGTATTCTGGGTTTTATATTCTGTTTGAATACAGCAGTTTGAATGTAGCAAAAGCTACATTTACATGAGTGCTACAGACATCAGGAAATACTCAGGTGAGTAGGAATCACGACATCTGGTACTTTCGCCGTATCTTTGGTCAGACATGTAAGTTTTATTCTTAAGTTTAATCAAAGACTTTTTAAGAACAAACTCAATGATGAATACATCTTACACACATTTTTTTCTAATTTGCTTGTGTATAATCTTAAAATAGGAGATGAAATAACAATTTGTAATCACACCATACCAAATACAACCGAGGGAGGAAAAAAATCACGATTCTTACTTTAAGCAATTCTGCTTAAAGTGTTGCCCTTTCCAGTGCATCCCTTAGTATCCCTGTTATCAGAGTTCTTGTACTGTCCCACAGATCAGAGGTCTGCTATTGTTTTCATTGTTCAGGCTAGTATTGTACTTTATATTATCCCTACTTATACTTACCATAGGTGGCAAAGTATAACGCTACTAAATTTTAGTAATATTGTTGATGACTTTTATATTCTCATTAGCTCAGCTGGGAATCAATCTTTGTATAAACTGTTAACTACACTCCATTTCCCACTATCTGAGAAATAAGAAATTCTGTCAGTTAGAGAACTCGCCACATACATATATATATATATATAACAAAACAGAGGAAAATAGCCATTTTTCTGAACTGGCATCTCTGATCAATCACCTCTAATATCAAGAAAAAACAAATGGAATTCCAAACAATCCCATACACCAGACTGGGCCAAAAATGTTGTAGCCCACTATATCATATTAACAGCCAGATTCTGCCCTCTTAGCTTTACACTGCGAGTGTCATTGTACCATTTGTTGACCTGAGAATGGCAAAACCCAACTGCATTTAAAAAATGCATAATAAGCTGGAATAAATATTTAAAGAACCAAAAATTTCAACTGAAGTATTTCAATTTTTTAAATCCTAAACCAAAAGCCTGAAAATTGTCCAAAAGTATAACTATCCAAGATCAATAATTGAAATTCTATCAATGGCAGTAGGAACACATACTAGTTCCAGTAACATGCCCTATTTTCAGTAGAGGATTACAGAAACAAAAATCTCTAAAATGGGAATGAATTATAAAACATCAGGACCATATCTGTACTACAGTAAAATGTTTTCATTTAGGATAGCTGCCATTATAAACTGCACATATTTTGCCATTAAAGTGTTATCATTGCTACATGTTTGAACACAAATGAGCTTGAAGATTGATTTTAAAAATCCCAGTGTTCAAAGCAGCAATGCACAGCATTTACACAAATTGGCACCAAGTGTCTATGCACAGCATTTACATATGTAATAGTACAAAAAGAAAACACTTACCTTACCAAGTCTTTATATAAAGCTTTTGTAGTTTCTAAGTATGGGCCAAGTACATCCTCAAACTGACAGACAGTTCCTCCAAGACAAAGATGCTTAAAAAGACAAAACAGAAACTCCTTGCGATCTGACTGACTGAATAGGTCATAATGGTCTGAATCTTCCAGAAGCAAGGCCTTATGGAACAAGAATACAATAAAAAGGTCAAATAGGTATATAATATCTAAGTAATCTCTTTGAGATGAAATACATAAATAATGCAGCTACGTTTCTGCATGTTAAACGGAGTTTATGTTCATATAAAATATAGGAAATAGGAATGGAAACAAATAAACACTTTTCTCCATGTAGAAATTCTTTTCCCCATGATGCAATCGATATCATGTTCACAGTTTATAGATACAATATAAAATCTTAATAGCAGAACCATCAACTGCTAAATTTGTGCCAACAAGAGATATGGAAATATTTTTCAAGAGTCTTACAATTCATTGGTTCATCACGCTAATGAAACAACCAATATTCTGAAAATAATCTAGGTATATTTGGTATGTTGATCACTGCCAATCAGTTTGTCCTTGATAACTTTGACTACATCTGTTATTGCTCATTCTTAAGCACATCCCAGAGGCAACCACTCAAATTCACACCGTTCTTTACTGCAGAATCTGGTGAATGTTTATCTGAGTATAAAACAGACATGCTATCCAGCTGCCTCCACGTGTCCCTCGTGCCTTTTGCATCAACACTACATGAACGCAGAAGTCTTCCTAGATTAGACCCAATGCTGCCCACGGCAAGGGTAGACAGGGATTGTAACTCAGGATAGCTAGGAAATGGCTGAGTCACATCAGCCAAACTGCAGATATCAACACAGACAAATGCAAACGGGTCAAAACCAGATTCACGCTTAACACTCTCCGGCCTTCTTTACAGCATCGCTACAGAGCTGAGTAGAAAAGGGCCAGGGCAGCAACTGTTCTTGATGGCCACTTCACACGTATCTCAATCCCCTTCTTAGTGGAAGCAAGAGGAGAAGACATTGCAGATGGGAAAAAAATGTCAAGTTTTGCAGCTGAAGTCCACTCTCTGGCAGAAGTAGATTAGACAGTCTGCTGCCCCCTACAGTCTACCATTCTAGGCTGCTGAGTAATTTACCTAAAGCTTTGAGGCAGCTTTTGGGAGATTTTGATTCCTAATTCTTTCTGTCATCTTAAGTCTTATGACTGGAAATTACGTTCATTTCAAAGAGATGTGAATCCTTCAACTTTCAAATGCAGACACATGCATCCCTTTCACGGGGAGGGAAATGAATAGGGACTAAAACCCTAATGATACCTCATTTTAAACATAACCTCTCACTTTTCACATCAAATATACTTAATTAAAAAAAAAGGTAAATTCCAATATACACACATAGTATTTTGAACTGCTCGTCTACAAACCAAATCTGAGATTCAAACACGAGTTTGAGTTCTGTCCTTTTCCCAGAACTTCACAAGACAGACCAGTTTTTCAAGCCGCATCCTGTAACCACTGTCACTGGCTCAAATACATTGTGTTCAAAGGGTTTGCCAAGTGCAAATGAGTGCAACTCTGTAATTATTAAGTACTTCTGTTGATTATATGTACAAGGAAGAGCAAAATCCAGTTCTCCCAGCCTATGCTTTGCTAATGCTAAACAAACATAAGTAATAAAAATTTGTTTGGGCTCATGAAGTCAAAAGAAACACTTAAAATGATGGCATGTTGATTAAGAAGGTGCCACTGTTCAAGAGGTTCTTTTTCAGAATAATCTGCTCTTTAACACCTGCACTGGAACGTAACAAACAATTTTTACCTTGCAGGCCTGTTCAGGGAGTTATATTTGTTTGAGCTTATGTTACCTGAAAATGAACGCTGCTAAATCTACACAGTTAAACACCATTAAAGCATAAGGGGAGATAATCATTAAAGAAGTAAATCAACAGAAAAATGATGTCCTTTTTACTTTCCTATCATCAAACTGAACTACTTACACAGCCCTCTAAAATACTCCTAAAATAGAAGTCTTCTTTCAATGGTCAAAGTCATTTCCCTTTTCATAGTTTCCTCTCCTTTGTTTCAGTTCAAAATACATGAAGATATCTTTCCTTAAATACCTTCACATATCACACATCATATGATCCTGGTCAGGAAAGCTTCAGGATGTAGCTATTGAGCACTTCAAATTTTATAAACTATTTAGAATAATGGGTGAACCTGCAGCTCTGGGTATCAGAAGAACTTTCCACTGGCACCACTTATTTTCCCCTCCTAGGCAAAAGAGGAGCTGCAATTTTTTTCTTTCCAGCTAGCAAATACTTATGAAAAAGGTAAGCTTCTACCTTTTCTCCCCACCTAAAAAGGAAAACGGGACCAACTGAAAAATAACAATTGTCTTGACACACTTGGGAACTGGAGTACCTCAGTCATTTATATTACATGGCTACAGATCTCTCCTTTTACCTTGAAAAGCACATATCAGAAGAAAAAATAAATACCGAAAAATGTGTCCTTATAGTACCTATCAGAGTATGAACATTTTAAAGAAATTATTCAGCGCCACACTGACCTTCCTTAATTCATCAGCGATGAGAATATCATCACAATATTCATCATAACATTTCACAATATGTCCAGTTTCTCTAACAACTCCTTCGGTGTATAGCCGATCAAAAAATGACATTGAAATCTGTGTACAGAGCAGTTCTGTAGCTTCAATTTTTATCACTTTAGAACCTGGAATACAATAGGAAGGCTTCACTTCAAGTCTGTTGTGTTAAATAAAACAGGAGAATGTCCACATGCTAATGGTTTTACAATAATTCATAATTTGATAGAGCATGGAAACAATTAACTTCGCTAAATGGCTGTGTGTGGCATACTCTTAAAAAAAATAAAAATCACATAGGTACAAAGCTAAATCACACAGCCCTCAAAAAACCAGGCAAAGCTAAGAAAGAAGCAAGACCAAAGAAAACATTAAATCCATCTGAAAGCTACCTTACATCAAGGCTCATGCATTTGCTCCCTCTGTTGGCAATGCTATCAATCAAAACAAATAACAGATGAAACATAATGTGAAACTCAACATCATATTAGACCACACCTTAGAACATCATAATTTCACAACTTAAGCCTTAAAGAATCTGAGAAGAGAACACCAAATTTGGATTGAAGTACAAACGTCACTGTTAGTAACTCCTCACAAATTAAAAAAGGGATTCAACGCCTTTTGAAAATGGACACATTTGCAGTATTTTAAGTGATGTATCCATACTTTTTGGAAAGTTATTTTGTAGCTTACAAAACTACTGTAAGCTTTATTAGCCGCCTGTATCACATTTCAAAATTCTATAAAAAAGTAGTCAGTGCTTCCCTGCACGAACTGTGAGTTTGCATCCATTAAGTAGAGAGTACATTTTTCTGTCATTTTTCTGTTTCCCAAACTTGCAAGTTATCAGAGGCTTGATCCCCTTGCTCAGACATAGGCACCAATTGCCACTGGAGATGCCCTACAGTATTTTATCTAACCAGGTACCAGCCCATAAGGGCACATATCCTTTTTATATACAGTGTCACATCTACAAATCTGTATGTACGTGCTGGATAGCCTATGACATCTCAAATATCATTAGACTCCTATGTTTAGCCAGCTTAGGGCTCAGTTCAGTTCCATCTGCTCTCCACAGTTCAAGTATTCCAAAAAAAATATTAGGACACATTCTCTATTTGTCATCCCCGAATGTCCTTCAAGGGGTTTCTGAAATGCAGGCAGGGGAAGAGAGATATGGAGAAAACGTGAGCGCAGCAGAGAGCACAAGGGCAATGCAGCTCTGCAGAGATAAACTTATGGAAAGTCGGAATTTTATAAATATTATCTTCTCTCCCCTGTAGACTCCCTCTATGGGAGACTAGGCAACAATATCACAACAACAGAAGGCTGTTGCTATATACTTAAACATAAAAAACAGTGCCCTGCCAAACGGACCTAAAGGATCACTAAAGACTAATGTTCTTGAAAAGTCCAAATTTCACTCTAGATGACAATATTTCAGGAACAGAAACATGTCAAAAAGTGATGTACATACTGTAATGCATAAATCTGTGATATTTTGATTTTAATCTTTGCAAACATAGCATAACTTAACATTTCTCTTCCCTGCACTCCCACGAAATCCCTGGGATTTCTCCCATATACTATTACACAGAGATCATTTATTCATAAGTTAAATAGGGCTGGCATTTTGACATCTAAACCTGGGTAAACAGTCGCACATATATGATCACTCTTAAGCAAAAAAAAAAAAAAGGGAATCTACAAATTGACTATCTGAAAAGGTGTTTGCACTTAAGCTGAAAACGATGGCATAAAGTTTTAGAATTAATTTATTGGGAAAATATGATGCAGAGAAAAACAACTACAGGAAGAAGCATGCCATTTAATTGCTTGGCTTTGCATATACATATATGGCTATGGCTACATTATCCAAGAAACTGTACAGGTCATTCTCTTAGCTGTCTACACGGCGACTGTCAAAAAATAATCAAAATTAAAAAAAAAACATAAGTCAGAGCAAACATGACTTGGAGCCTCAAAACTTTAGAAAAAAAAAAATAATTGAGGGTTTTGCTACCTCTCACCCCCTCACCACAAGACTCCTCTAATTTTTAGTTCTTAGTCAGACCCCCCCTTCATATAAATAAAAATCTTATAAAAGATTTAATAGGAATTGAGTCAGCCCCTAACACAGGAATGATTTTGGAAAGACTCACGAATCAAAAACTGATTCAAGATTAGTAACATCAGATGTTAAATGACTTGAAACAAAGGAGACATCTTACATTTTCCCAGTTATTGAGATCAAAGTATAAGAAATTCAGCTAGTTATAAGCTTTCATATCGTTAGGATTTTATTTGGGGTGGAGGGGAAGGAGGAGACACACTCTGCTCCAAAATAAGATTTTATGAAAACCTCCACCAGGAAAGATTGATCACTCAAGAGTTCTGTTACATATTGAGTAGCTTAGAAAAACAGACTGTAAATAGAAAAGTGTGAATGTGCTCGAAGGTCCTATTCTCCATTTCAGAGGTGAGATTGGGAATTAGAGAATCAGAATTTCCTGGAGAGGAGTAACCACTTCTGATAACACTGTAAAAGTAAGTAATAAAATAGGCGGGAGCAACATCTTGACAACTGAGTGAGTGGAAAACAAAGAGCTGAGAAGTACCGAAGCAGAACTTCTTATAACAGCTAGTTCTGGAACATCTATAAACCGCAGACAGTATGCTTTTAAATGAACAGGGGGAGCTAAATCCTAAATTAGATATATTTCCCTATTTATATCTAAGTTGTCAACTCCTTATTTTCAACATGAAAAAAAAAAAAACCCACAGAACTCCTCCAAAGCCTAAGAAAAAAACGTACCTCAGGGAAACCTCCTGTAACCTGCTATCTACAAAAAAAATTAAAAATAGAACACATATAACACAAGCTTAACACTCAGGTATGAAAAGATGGTATTTAAAAGTAAAAGGTGCAGACCAACAATTTATTAGTTCAAATGACATCTAAAATTTTAGTGAATGAAAACCTGCAATGGCAGTGTAGAAAACTTGCTGATTTAAGATTTTTAAACCTTGATCTAAAGACAGCAATCAGTAGCGCTTGAAGTACATATGGCAACTAAGAGTCTTTCTTAAGCAAATACTAAACTTCTGTTTACAGAAAAAAGACAGTATCCCCATCCCTTTGAAGATAACTTTTCAAGTGTTAATTGAGTTTAACCAGATACTGTCCTGCCTCCCTGAGACTGCTGACAGGTGCAAGGCCAATAACGTGTCAAAGGAAAAACTGCTATTCACGTTTCACTGTAGCTATTTAAAAATGCAAGACTTAACATGTAAGTTGATATGCATCAAATTATGTTCATTTTGCTGCTTCTGTTTTAGAAAAATGAGAGGAAGAGATGAGAAGGCTTAAAGCACACGACAGAGCTATCAGGTGCTCTGGGAAGCAACCAAGAAGAGGGAAAAATATATCCCTATGACAACAGGCAAAAAAACGGTGGTGTGAGGAGAGATAATAAAACAAAGTATCTGTCTAATCAAACGAAGCAGAAGAGAGAATGTCCTAGAGTTCTCTTCACCTAAAATGCTGTATTTCAACTCCTATTAAAGCTGGAGTCCTTTAGACAAGGTACTATTGTAGATTCTATCAGGAATTCCAGCATGCGGTTGGGTGCAGGGGGCAGGAGTACATTTGGCACACTTGGGGAACCCCAAGTTTCATGCCACCTTGTGATCTAACAGATGGAGACTGAAGATATTAAGGTCTGATAAGATTAAGGTGTGGATGAGAATAAAGAGAAGAACAAAACTGAGGAGATAAGACATGGAAAAAAGTAGTAAAGAACACTTAGATTTTTAGGGAAAGGAGATAGGCAAATTACAGAGCAGAGGTAAAGATAAATATGAAAGTGAAACCAGGACCACTTGAATTCTAAAGAATGATAATTTATCATTTTAGCTAGAGGAAAAGAAGAGCCTGAAGAAAGCAAAAGGATTATGAAAACAAATACTCTAGTAAAGTAATACTATATTGATATTTTATATAATGCTGACAGCATCTTACAATGTAGATTCAGCTTTGTTAATGTGCATAGGTAAACATGTTCTGCCCAAGCTCGCAGAGAGGGGAGAACGAAGTTTTTCAGAACCAGCCTAAACCCCACTCATCATACTATGCATCCTGAATATCTCTCCCTGCCAAAAAAAAAAAAAGTATTTTTGTTTACAAGACAATAAATTTAAATCCTAGATTATGTCATTTTCTTCATATTTTCTAAAAAGTAAAATAAGCCCATTTCCAGTATCCTCTTGCAAGAAAAGAAACTTGTTATTAAGAGTTCTCCACAGTGACAAGTAAACAGTGTATGTGGATTAACTGAATGTCCGAAGAAGAAAATACCGGAAGATGATTTTGTACCTCCTCCCCCTCAAAGTTAATTCTTACTATATTTTTAAAAAATGCACATGAAGACTAAGTATAGAAAAATGTGCCAACATTCCTCACCAAAAATAGGCAAAGAATGGGAAGATGAAATTTTAAGAGCAAATGGCGTATACCAGCTGTTCGGGATTTAGAGAGGGAACCCTTCCAGTCCTCAGAATAAAATGCATTACTTCTGTGTTAAGATAGATTCAGAAGAATTAGGAGTTAAGAAGCTGGGATACTTGGCAAGTGACCCTCTGCTTTCAACAGGAGGTATGTAACCTACTGACCTTCCTCACTACAGGGACTAGCAAGTCACAGGCTAGACAGATAGTCTAACAAGATCCTCGCCCAAAGCAGGAAAAGAAAAAGGTTTGCCCATGCTTTGAAATGTATTTATTTTCCTTTTGTTTCCCAGAAAGGAAAAGAGGCACTGACAGGACACCCGTATTTGCATTTTCTATGCTTCATTTTAACATCCCATTATGGTGCCTTAGGAAAATAGATTGGCAGTGTCTAGCATCACAGTGTACAGTGGGGAAAACCTATGTCAATTCCACAGAGCAGAAATGGAAAAGTAAGTAAACAAAAAGTTTAATTAAATATTTACATGCAATAAAGTTATTCACAGGCAAACTGAAAAACTGAGGGCTTCCCACAACGCCCTTTTTAAATATACCTATAAAAGAAAACTACTGTGGCATTATCATAGTTCACATTACGCATAAAATCTCCTTACATTATCACACACAATTTGCATGAAACTTTAACAGTTTCATTTATATAATTAAAAATGCCATTACAAAGTGCTGCCATAAGCTCACATGCTATTTCTGTTTGGTCTTTTTTTCCTTTAATGTGTTATCTACATCTACAGACACAATCAACTGTTATAAGCAGTTAATAATACGGCAGTGAATGAGAAGTCATCCTTATGCCATGATTACAAATAGCGTAACCTATCACACGGCTCTCTTCCTGCAGCTAGGTTATTTCTGTTGTACAGCTAGAGTATTTATGCAAGCTCAGGAGTGCGCTCTACCTAATGTTCTGCTCCCTCAACCTCAATCTGTAATACAGCAATATTCTTCGATTTGCTCTAACGTGGCTGCAACCATGGAAGAGTGTCTTTCTCCAAATACTATCTCTGAACAAGGTAGTAAGTTCCGTGGATACTGCACAGTTGATGACGTCTGGATACAACATGACTATGTCAACTGGATTTTACAGACCATTTACAAACACTTCCAGTAACTTGGTTTATGCA